AGAGAGAAAGAGAGACATGCAAGAAAAATGAGACGCCATCAGCGAGTGTTGCTGTGCGCCACGGCATAGCCGTGGCGGGGTCGACTTGTATACAGAAAAAGTTAAAAAAAATTGTCTCCCTGATGTCGACTCGTGAAGCCCTGCAATCTCCAGAAAGTTGTTTTGTGGAGAGGTCCGAAGACCACCCTCCACAAACCGCCATGCACAGGCGGGGAAACTGAATTCACTCTCCACAGCTTGTGTCGACGGTGTGGCGAGCCGTCTGACACATTTTGCATTCGCCAAGTTTGGCGAGTAAGTGCAACCGGGCGCCTACTCGCCAAACTTGGCTTATGGCGAGTAGTGCAACTAGGCCCTGATGTGCAATGCCCTTTGTATGAAATGGGTACGTTGCCCCAGGCCCCCAGCCGACTTGAAATCGTGATTGAGCGCCTGGTTGCACTACTTGCCATCCGCCAAGATTTCGAATGCATCTGGACAAAATGATGTCCGCATGCAATCAAAATGTTGGCGGATGGTGACCCTGAATCGCTCCGAAAAAAATCGAAATCGCAGGCTCCGGGTGACCGGACCAAAATGGCTGGCAGGCATTTGCGAAAACTAAAAACAAAAATGCCGCGCTGGGTGCACAGTGGGAATCCGCCTCCTGGTCATTATAGCAGTATGTGGGGCATTTTTCTGTCCAGATGCACAGTGATAATGACCGGGCGATCGATTCGGGTGAAGAGGGTAGTACAGAAAAAAGAGGCACAGATGTACAGGTCCTTTAACCATCTCTTCTGTCTTTTTTTTTTTTTTTTTTTTTTGGGGGGGGGGGGGGGGGGGGGGCAAGTAAAGTTGATGTCACAAAAGAGTTTCGATTCGGCAAAAAAAAACACGCGCCGGCAAAACGAACAGCCGCTGAGTTCAGAAAAAAACAATGAAAGTACTGCGGCCGTGGTCAAGGTCCCACTTGCACAGATTAAGAGATTCTGGCCGTTGATCCTTGTTATCTACGGTCAATATCGCTTAATTCGTGTAAGTGGGACCTAGCCCCGTGACAGAGGCATGTGTGTCATAATTATACAGGGGCGAAACGTGGTGCCAGACAGGACAGGAAAAAAAA